TAGACTGTAAATAATCAGCTTGCACCTTATTAATACAAACAAAAAGGAGAGAGAAATTAATCACAACATCGTCGCTGCTATTAGCACCCCTACTGCTGCTGTAAAAGCTTAGGAATGATGCAGACGGTGCTGTTCCTCTGAACAGGGCTTGCTAGAAACAAGCAGCTCAGCACATGAAACATCATTCCATGTTTCAGGCCCTGTGCACGTCTGTGTTCATCGCCTGGGAAATGAATCTCATATGATTTCACTATTTCACTTTGGTTTTGAGAGCCAGCTCGGGAAGAAAAAACGGGCATTGCAAATGTAAAGATGCGAATACTATGCTGAAAAGAAGCAGAAAGGAGCCTGCATGCTTGATACCTTTCAGTCTCCTGGATGCAGTGTATGCAGGCAGCCCTCTACTGGTATGAACACCACTGATCATGTTTGCCCAGCACCCGTGCTCTTCCGTTTTCTTAGGCGGAATCAGAGTAGCTTTTCATTAGTTGTAGGTATATTCAGCTAGTCTACATACTTGATCAGTGCTCTGACTTAGGTGTCTCTGGGCTTCTCTGGGCAACACGAACAGGTTCATACAACCTTCACAGTGAAGAACTTCTTCCTAGTATCTTCTCTAAATCTCTCCTGTCAGGTTAAAGCTATTCACTCTTTTCCTGTCACTAACTGCCCTTGTCAAAAGCCCCTCTCCAGATTTCTTGTAGGCCCCCTTCAGGTACTGGAAGAATGTTTTAAGGTCTCCCCTTAAGGGGCCTTCTGTTCTCCAGGCTGAACCAGCCCAGCTCCCTCAGCATGTCTCCAGAGGAGAGTTGTTCCAGTCCTCACAGTATGTCCATGGCCTCCCGTGGACTCTCTTCAACAGCTCCAAGTCCTTCTTATGATGGGGGCCTCAGGGCTGGATGCAGGACTGCAGAGGGGGTCTCATCAGGGCAGAGTAGAGGGGGAGAATACCTTCCCTTGACCTGCTGGTGATGCTTCTAAAGCTGTTGGTTTACTTGAGTATAATATTTCCTTCAAAAATGCACATCAAAAAGAATAACTGAAACACAAAGTTTATCCCAGTTCTTGTAAAAATGCAAGCCAGGCACCTCAGGATTTGCTGCCTTCAGAGAACACAGCTTGATTTCAGGGAGTCTGACTTGCCTGGATGAAAATTAATTTTTAATACATTTGGTTGTTAGAGGGATTATGCAGGAATATGGAATGGCAGGACATTCCACAGTGCTTTGCTGTGGAGGTGTTTACTAGTGGCCAGTAGGCAAGGAATAGTGGCGTGTGTTTTCCACAGACAGCATGGACTGGTGCCAGACTGTCACAGGCAGAGGTTCGCTGGGGGGCTGAAGGGAGTTGCCAGGAGACATCACCAGATCGAGTGTTCACAGAGACAGACTCAGACTCCCTCCTATGTTTGCATACCAGCCTGTTTTGCAATCATTCTTCCCATGACTTCCTTTACAATCTCCCAAATATCCCCACCACTTACTAGAAATTACCAGTTTTGAAAAATTTTATGTGATATGAAGCCCATTTTCTGGTTCTTTAATGTGAGCATTTTACCCTTACAGGCATCACGCATCAGTAAAGATCCAGCTCAAGAGCCAGTTGAGCCACACTCCTGTAACAAGCATTGAAACACAGTGTATGCTATGTCCCAGTTCAGAGGTGACCTGCTTCATGGGCAGGACAAAGACCAGCAGCACTTCCATAAATTAGTAAGCTCTGAGCTTCCAGAAGTTAGGTCTGAAAGAATCATGACATTGTTTGAATATTCAGCAAAACAGGAATAATAAAAAGATACATATAGTTACAGACATACAATAAATGTTATTTATGTGTTAGTCTTCAGGGCCTTCAGATTCAGTGAGTCATTTTCTCAGTCCCCTCTTCAGAAGCATAAGGCCTTAAAAATCATGATTATCAATTCGAGAACCTGGGGCTTCAAGACTTGCCATCAAAACTCCGAGAAATCCATGAGGGCTGTTAGATCATGGACACTCATTCTAGCAAAGCCAAAGCCTCCCTTCCACTTCAAATGTAAGATATTTAGTCAGTGGACACAGTTCCTCTGTGCTGCATCAGTGCCTGTCTTTCGCCAGTCATCCCTGAGGAAGAGGTGATCTAACATCCCCTTCACTGTCTCCAGTCAGTCTGAGCCTCTCTGCAAGCCATCTGACAATCCTCCATGACAAATAACAAGACCACAAAGAGACAAGTCAAAAGATGTAGAAATGTTGTGATGAAATACTTCAGTGTACTATTTAAATTCCCCTGACAAATGTTCCTCTGTTATTTTCCCAGACCAAGCATCTCTGAATCATGATAATATGAAGGAATCATTCCCCAGAATGTTCTCCATCTAATCTTCACAGTTCCCTATAGTAACAGAAATACCCCTCATAGGTACAGCAATACATCTGAATGACAAATGGAAGGGAACATTTTTTCAGTTCAAATTTATATAAAGCCAACTAGGAATAGAAGCAAGACTATCTTTACTCATTTTTCACATTCATAAACATACAAAAAGTACTGAAGCTTAATGTAAATTTAGTGTGGAGAAGCCTAATAGCTCTCTTGTGCCTCATGTCAGCCACTGCACCATTATATCACAAGCCAAATGTGCACAATCAATCTGTGCACAAAATACAGGGTAAAAGAAAGACAGGGTTGCATGTTTAACTAACTAGTCATTGGCTTTTTTATTCAGTTTCAAAGAAAATCAGACTTTGTAGGCTTTGAGCTTTATCTGCCTTTCTGTTAGTGTGTTTTAATGATTCACTATGGTTCATTATGTAATACCTTGTCTCCAGCCTCTGCATTTCAGGGGTCGTCAGAGTTTTAGTGCAGCAGTTGTGAGTTAGTCTTCAGTGTTCAAGAGCAAACTGCAGGCAGAATGTAGTTTTCAGACACCAAGATGTGAACTGACTGGTTTATTTTTGTGCATTTTCTCACTCCTGAATAATATAATTATGGAGCTTTCAGGGCAAACTTTGGCAAGCTGAACTGAATACAAACTGACAGTGCTCAAAACTGATCCATCCAGAAACATTTCAAATAGAAGCCAAGGAGAAAGGAGGCGGCATACATCATTTCTCACTTTAAAAAAACCAGCTTGCACTCCTGCCATCTTCAGTTTCTTGCCCAGATGTTGTCATGGGAAGAAAACATTAGAATATAAATTATGCTATAGAAAGCACAGATGGGAGCAATCTCTCACAAGAATGTATATTCCATTTCAGGCCATTATGTCAGATTGAGCCTGTATTTCTCGAATGCCCCTCTTAGTATCTCACACACATATCTTGGAGTTAAACAACTGGCATTGCAAAGAGACTCTCCAACACAAGCATGGATAGGTTCACCCAAGGTTTGCCCCAAAGGCAAACTGCCTTAAAGCCATAAGGGATCAGCTCCAAGTATCTCATTCTGCAAATGATCTGTACTTCTTATGGACCAGAGAATAAGTGCTCATGGAAAAAATTATACCCTATACAACTTCTAATAAAAATAGCAGGCACAAATTAGCATCAGATCGAGTCCTGTAATGGATGGCTTTCCCTTTTCTCTTTACTTTGAAATCATCCTGACAAGCCTAACTCCATGTGCAAATGGGATGCGTCCTCCAGTAAAAACAAAGCAAATTTAAGTCACTGCAATGTTACTTTTGAGTATTTTCTTCTAGTCCCTACACAGCGTGATGCTGGGAATACAAGCTGCAGAGGATACTGACTTTGAGTGACACATGGAAAATACCAAGCTGGAATCACACAGACCTGCTCCATACCACAGAAATAATTCTGGTAATTTCTGAATTCTCATCATTCTAGAAAGCAAGCGAGCAAAACAGGGTTCTGTAGAAGTGAAATTCAGTATTCATACGTAAAAAAAACCAAAAGAATCGAATGCAGAACCTGACGATTGTTGTACATGATCCTGTACACAATGTATTGTAAGAATAGCTACACTAACCCTTACTGCAAACAACACTGTATATAACATATTCCACAAGGAGGTTGAAAATGGATTCAGTGTAAGGACTCCTTGTTGACAGGTGCTCACTCACTCACTCCTGGACATTTCTGATTAAGTAATCTGAACTATAGATTCCTGTTCTAACTGCAGAATCAATGTGTGGATGTATCATAATAGTGAGGGGTGTTTTTCAATTTGGGCAGAGTAAGAGCATGCATTTGGTTATTTACAGTGCTTTAGATACAAATGAGCAGTAATTTCCTAAACTGCTGTAATTAACCTACTATAAAATAATTACATAAACAGGAAAACACTCCAATTTATTTAAATTCTATCTCTTAATAAATTACAATCATGTAATTATCCTGCACTTAATCTTTTATGACAAAGTTTTACACATGTGCTGACCCACATCTCTGATAAACCTGAAAAATTTATCATCCTTCCTTTCATCCCAAAATCTGACTTCCTGTCCATCAGTTGTCAGGATCTTGACCGCACTAATAAAGCTCATCCAGTTCCAACCCTCTGCCATGGGCAAGGACACCTTCCACTACCCCAGGCTGCTCCAAACGCCATCCAAGCTGGTCTTAAACACTGCCAAGGATGGGGCAGCCACAGCTTCTCTGGACAACCTGTGCCAATGCATCACCCTCAATAGTAAAGAATTTATTCTTAATATCTAATCCAAATCTGCCCTCTTTCAGTTTAAAACCCTTATCCCTCATCCTATTATACTCTCTGTTAAAAGACTTCTTCCCCATCTTTTCCTGTGGGCCCCTTTAGGCACTGGAAGCTGATCTAAGGTCTCCTGGGAGCATTCTCTTCCCCAGACTGAACAATCCCAGCTCTCTCAGCCTATCCTCCTAGGGAAGGTGCTATCTTTGTGGCCCTCCTGCAGACCCACTAAGCAGGCCTATATCTTATGCTGGGATGACAAGAGGTGAGTTGTAGGTGTCCTTGCTGCTAATTCTGTTCCTGAATTGCTGCTTGGGTTTCCTGGATTGACCATGCAAATAGCATATTACCTTGTGTTTGCCTGATGGTCGCTGGACTGCTGGACTTTCTGCTGCCTCTGCTCTGCTTGCTTTTCTCTCTCTGGTAAGGGTCAGGCTGTGCTCTGTTGGAGAGGCGTTTGCCTGGCTTGTGTTGTGGTCACCCTCAGCTCTTGGCTTCCTTGTCCTGAAGGACAGCAGTAAGAGCTGGATGAGGCTGCTCAGGGCCACCCTGTGCACTCAGGACTCTGATATTGTTTTGCTCTACAGCCTGCTTCCCAAGATAAAGTACCACCCTCCCCCTGGCCGTGTCTGCTGTCAGCACCATTTGCTTTAATAAAAAAATAAATTAATTTCAGTGTGGCTCATTATGCTAAATGAAAGCAACGGGGGGCTAATGAGCATTGTGAATGAGCCATTAACATGGCAATCAGCGCTATCCTCACGATAGCTACATCTTTCCTACATCTTTCTTGGAACACTCAGTAGCATTATACAGATGTGGCCTCATCTATTAAATTTAATTCAGGAAACAAATAGATTTCTATGTTTACCTTGAGTAGTTTCTTTCTGTAGAATTGTACATGGTGTTACACTTGCAATTAATAACAAAGCTCTACTAGTTCATTTTGTGGAACTGCTAAGGTTAGTCTTAGTCTTCAGTAGACAGGACTGTGCTAAGAGAGTTAATGTCTAGATTATTTGGAACCCAGAATGTTGTCCCTCTCCCGCTTCCCCCGGGTTTTCATCACAAAAGTGAAATGTACCTGAAACAATAAATTTACTGATGACTTCATCTTTGCAATGGATTTAATGTGGTTTAAACAGCATTTTTATTTTTCAGAAGTGGCCTTCACCTCCAGCCTCGGTTCCTGCCAGATTCACTGTGCCTTGGACCTGAGGATCACATTCCACAGGGAGCTGACATGCCTGTGCTCAAGGGAGCACTCTCCTCAGTCCTCATAAGAAGGCAGGAAGACTGCCCTGAAACAGCATCAGAAAGATGTGTGCTTAAAGAGCAATAGGGAGGAGGAGAAACCTACTTGTGTTCAGTGATACTGAGAATGTATCTTTCAGAAGGCCAAGGGAAGGAGAGAAGGCAAAAAAACCCTCCTCAGTGTTTTTAGACATTGCTGCGGTGAAGGTTTTTAGAAGATTCAGTTCTCTGCACATGATCAACTTCACAAAAAGCTTTTCATAGCACTGCCTTGTAGCTGGAGGGAGACACAGATGAGCAGCTCCCCAAGGAGCTATAACTGGTCACTGGCAAAGTGAGGAAAAGAAACCCAGAGGATCTGAAAAGGATTCCAGGGTTTTCCTTGAGTTGCAGTCTCAGCTCCTGTGACAGGTTCATCCATTCAGGCCACATAACTCTTATATCTGACTTCTTAGAATCAAGTAAGTCAGCAGAGAGCAGTTTCTATGGGTTTGCATCATTTCTGGGGGAGTGGGCACAGGGCACCTACAAAGCCAGATTTATTGAAGTTATCTAACAAAAACACAGAACGCAGAGTTCAAACAATGTCTTTTTCCCTTCTGTTTCCCAACTTCACCAGTCCCTGTGGTATCAATGGAAGGAGAACCCGCCCCGAGCTCACTCACTGGCAGAAATTGATACCATCCTGCCTCCAGCCGTCCGAAGGCAGGTCTGTATCCCTATGCCTTTGCTCTGCAACGCTATGACAAGTCCGCAGGCGATGCTCTCACCACGAGCGGTGTGTCCCAGAAATGCACAATGCTCAAGGGGATGTGTCAGGCCCTGGGCCGCCATTGCAAGACCCGCTGCTCAACTGGTTCAGGCAACGGCAATCTCCTAAGCACGAGTGAGCGCTCCGTTACTACCATCCCTCCGTGCTATTCCGGCCACAGCAGGAGGCGCGGGACGTCGATCCCGACCCTGCCCCGTCCCCCGGTCGCTGGGCGGAGACAGCGGGCCCGTGAGGAGAAGGAGGCGTGTCCCCGCGGCCCCCTCAGCCTGGCCGCCATTTTGGGGCGCGCTACGCGGAGCGGGCGGTGCACGGCGCCCTCTGGCGGCTCCCCGCGCTCAGATCCGCTCGGCGCGGGCGGCCGCCGGCCATGAAGTCTGTTCTCGTCACCGTGGGTACCACCAGCTTTGACGACCTGATCGCGGCCGTCTCCTCCCCGGCCGCCCTGCAGGTGAGCCTGCCCCGCCGCCGCGCCCCCCGCACGGCCTGCGCCTGCGCGCTGGGAGCTGTCCCGCCCTCCTCTTCCCGCCAGCGCCTGTCTGACGCGGCACAGGAAGCCGTTGGGGGGCGGGGATGACACATTCTGTGGCGGGGAGTGTGAGGAGGAAGGGTCTGTGGTACGAAAGGAGAGGGTAGCAGTGGTCCCGGTGCGCGACCGAGGTACGCGCAAGCCGCCATTCAACCGCCCTTCCTCCGCAGGTGCTGCAGAGCCTTGGCTACCAGAAGCTGGTGCTGCAGGTGGGGCGGTGCGCGCTGGACCCGGCGCTGCTCGGCAGCCCGGACGTGGCTGTGGAAGTGGAAGCCTTCCGCTACAAGGAGTCTCTGGCCGAGGACCTGCGGAGGGCGGACCTGGTCATTAGCCACGCAGGTAGAGCCCCGGCTGCTTGCCGAGCCTGTGCTCCTCGGGGCAGGAGTGGAAGTCAGTTGGATGAAGTCTGTTTCTCAACAGCTCGGGGTGGGCTGGCAGCGAGTTCATGCCCACACCGGAGATGAGTGGTTAAATGTTCATCGTCGGGAGCCCCCTGTGCTACAAGAGCAAACAGGGGGATATTTCATGTATCAGGGCAGAAACTCAGTGTGATTTCTGTTTCTCCTCTAGGTGCAGGTAGCTGTCTGGAGACTCTAGAAAAAGGAAAACCACTAATAGTAGTAATAAATGAGAAGCTGATGAACAACCATCAGCTTGAACTGGCGAAACAGCTCCACAAAGATGGGCATGTCCTCTACTGTAACTGCAGGTATGGAGCTGCTATGGCTGTCCTAGCTGAACAAGGAGGGTTCAGCATCGGCACTGGCTTACAGCAGTGAGATTGTGGCAGGGAAATCTACATCCTTTTCTGTAACAACCATTTGTTTGCAAGGTAGATCTTCCACAGTGGATCGATGCCAGTTCAACAACCAAACCTTTTGACCACAGCTCCTTTTAAATCTTTTTCTTCAAGGGCACATGTATTCAGATTGAAAGAAGAGCAGTTTAAAGCCAACAGAAGTGACTGAATTTGGAACAGTCAGGTAGCATCCTCAAGGCACCAGTAGCTTCACTCTTTCCCTGCTCTTAGCAGGTGTTGGTTCTTTTTGGAAGTCCAGAAACAATACAGCCCAGACCATTGGCTTGTAACCATGAACTCTAAGGACTAAACTGCCCCCTGCAGACTAAGGACTCCCATTTCATCATTTTCCTATTTGGATTTTCCTTTAAAAGGGCACTAAAGTTTACTGACATCATCAAGTTGAAAGGATTTGGAGTATTTAGAATAAAACATGAAATTGGCCTCACTGGTATGGATCAGGAGTCCATGTAGTTCAGTATTCTCGTTGCTGTAGCCATATGCAGGTGTCCAGCCTAAAGTAGAAACAGGGCACCAAGCGTAAGGTACTTCCTTGGGTTAGTTTCCCTCTAGTGCTCTTACGTGCTTCGATTGAGGGGGATTCCTAAACCAGATGCTTCCTGGTTAGTAACTTTCAGTACCTCTGTTTTCCAAGTTCTTTCTCTGGCTGCCTTTTTAACCAAACTTCCTGAATCCACCACATCCTCTGACAAGGGGTTTCACAGATTGCTGCCTGTCACTTCAGGGGAACAAAACAAAACACTACAAAACCCCAGAACAAACCACGAAGCAGCCAATCTCCCAGAGAAGTACCACTGCCAAAACACAGACCCCCCCCCCCCCCCAAAATAACACCACCAAAACAACCAGCTCCTTTTGTTTGTTTATCCTAGCTCCTGTTAGATTCAGCTGATCTCTTGTTTTGACTATATGTTACTGCTTTCTCTTTATGATTCTTCATGATTGATTGCACTATAAATAACAGCTGACCCCTAAGTTGAAGGCACAGGAAGTCCAGCTCCCATTCCTTAGTCTGTATCTTACTCCTTTGCCCTGCAAATGGGATTTCATATGTTTTGGGAGAGCTTTCTGGAAACACGAGGCCTGTCACTCACTTCTGTTGGGCAAGTCCCTTACCACCTTATCTCAGTGCTTCTGACAGCTTTGGAGACAGGAAGGAATTTTTGTTGAGCAGTGCCTGGCATCAGAGTCTTATTTGCAGCCTGACAAAACCAAGCAAACTGATTTAGCTGTTCTGGCTATGTGTTAAGTGGAGAACTATGCCGTGTGTTCAGCTAGGATGGGATTCATGGGATGGTTTATAGTGAAGATCCTCAGGTGTTGTTCAGTCACCCAACATTGCAGCCACAGATAAAGTAAAGAGCTGAGGTTGTTTGTGACAGCTTGAAGCATGTTCTCAGCAGTGCTGTCTGTGATCAGTGAGCGCTGGGGCCTACTGCTTTGTGGGGGTCTGTTTCAATACACTTTCTTATTTTTCTTCCATGCTAAAGGTTTATGTATGGATGAATAGAAAGAAAATTTTATGGAGAAAAAAAATTTCCCTTTGGGGTGGATTTCTTTTTAATGTTGGGTTTTGGTCTGTTTCTACAGCACTCTTGTGGAGACACTGCAGTCGATGGAGTTACCAGCTTTGAAACCTTTTCCTCCTGGACAGCCAGAAAAGTTTGCTTTGTTCTTGGATCAAGTTTTTGGGATTCAATAAACAATACAGAGGAATGACAGAATTAAAACTTTATTCCTCTCCTAGTGAGGTCTTCTATACTTAAGAGTCCAGCAGCTGGGACAAACCCTCAAAGAGCATGTCTGTTAACATTAACCAACGTTAAATGGTTCCTGTCTAGTGCGGGTTCAAAGTTATCTGTGCTACAAAGAGCAGAGTGCCAACAGGGAAGGGGAGTATGAACTGTCAGGTTTCTTGGACAGACGCATATTTACCTCACATAATCTGCAGGAGTTGGTGATTGCAGTGAGGAGGACAAGCTAAATTACTTCTTA